AAAGCTGTGTTACCAAAATCCTTTTCGGTTTTAATGACAAGAAGTCACATGGGCTGTAGCGTGCGATGGATGTTAGACTGTCTGATTCTGCCTATGACGTGCTAGTAGATGTTTTGCTGCTGGTTTGGGATGGTGGCGGCTGACCCTGCTCTCTGGCTGGCACTTGTGCATTGATAACACCTGTAGAGAACAGACGGGGCCGGTGGGCAGGCTGTCCCCACCTGGCAGGTATGGCAGACCCCAGTAACCTCAGGAACACAGCCAGTGGGAAAAGATGCTAAACAGGTAATAAGTGATGAGGTTGAGAATATAAGGGGCACACTTTTTTTTTTCTTCTGTTTGGTACCAGGGATTGAACTCACAACCTCACACTTGGCAGACAGGCACTTATGCCACTGAGCTAAATCGCTGGCCCTAAGGGGCACACTTCAAGCAATATTTTTTACAGTAGTTTTAGTTTCCCAGCAAAACTGGACAAATTGCCCAGTGTCCCCACAAACTCCTTCCCCAAGCATATCCCACTTATGTACACTGCCTTCACCATCATCAGTACCCCACACCACAGTGGTGACCTTATTAAATGAACCTGTGCTGATACTGCCATGGTCAGTCAGAGACCCTGCTTGGCGTCAGATTCACTCCTGGTCTGGTTTCACCATTGTGGTGTCATATGGAGTAGATTCATGGTATAGCTGCGTGGAATACTACTCAAGTCCTTGTACCTCACTGGTCGCCCCTCCTTTCTCTTAGATTCAGCATCCAATGGTCTTTCTCCTCCTGCTGTAGTTTTGCCTTTTGCAGTGTCGTACAACTGGAACCAGGCAGTCTGTAGGCTTTTCAGGATAGCTTCTCCCCTTGCACTCAAGGTTCATCCATGTCTTTTCATGGCTGTTGTGATTAAAATATATAAAACATAAAATGTACTCTTTTAACCATTTTTAAGTGTATAGTGGCATTTAGTGTATTCATAGTGTTAAGCAAGTATCACCACCATCTATGCCAGGATGTTTTATTATTTTAAAATGAAGCTCTACATCCACTAAACAGCAAAACTCTATACACGTGAAACAGTAAGAGCCCATTCTCATCCCTGGCAGTTTGTGCTTCACCTCTCCACGATTACTTTATTGTAGGTACTTGGTTTCAGTGGAATCACAGTATGTGTCCGAGCTTTTAGCTCATTTCACATAGCCTAATGTCTTCCTCATCTATCACACTGTGGCATGTGTCAGAATGCCATTTCTTTTTAACACTGAATTATATTCCATTGCAGGGATGGAGCACATCTCCTTTATCCACTTACCTAGCAGTGGACATCTGGATTCTTTCCACTTTGGACCAGTTGAGAGTAATGCAGCCATGAATATGGTACATGAGTGTTGTTTTGAGGCCCTGCTTTCATGTTTTGAGGTATACCCCTTGCAGTGGAATTGCTAGATCATGTGGCAGTTGTACATCTTGACTGTTTCTACCCAGTTCACACCGTTTTACATTCCTGCCAGGCCTGGCCAGCATTCTGGTCTCTCCATATTCTTGCCAGTGCTTGTTATTTTCCATTTCTTAGAAAGAGTATGCATCCTTATTAGATGTAAAGTATATTGCTTTTGTGTTTAATACAGTACATTTAACGGTGAGTTTGTATACCTTAACTTTTAATAATGGCTGTGTTTAACAACAGGAAACAAGAAATTCCTACATATTCCATAGAAAGCTCTCAAACAAATAATGTCTTCCAGTACGACAGTGTGAGTGTGTGTTTAAGGAATGGGATGCGCACATGCAGATGAGTGTATTGTTTTAAACACTTTACTTGGTTTTTGTTTTTGTGGTATCGGGGATCCAACTTGCGCTTGCTAGGCAGGCACTATACACCACTGAGCTAAACACCCGGCCCTAAACACTTTCCTTGGGATGATCTAGAGCTACCTGAGGACCAACCAGCAGAACCTCTTGTGTACTGTGACCTTGGATGGTGGCTGCAGTTTTCTCTTGCTCCTCCCCAGCTTTTCACTTTCTCTTTTGGAACTTGGTGACGTGAGGCCAGGTTCCATAGGAAAAGCCATTTCTAAGTGGTGTCTCTGACATAAGACATCTCCATGGAGAGGAGTTTGACCCCAAGGGAACTGCTCAGCTGGGATGCAGCCTACCCTGTTGTCTGGGGCTCTGAGTAGCAGATGTGCTGTGGTGCTTAGATGATCTCAGCTCCAAGTGCCTGGGAGGCAGGCAGGAGGGCTGTGTGAGCACCCCAGGAGCAGGCATGTGCGATAGTGACTGAATCTGGCCCTGTGTGGATTGCCTGCTGGTCTCATGGGAGTAGCAGAAAAGACTGCTGTGTGCATGCATATGTGTGTGCAGTTGCTATGTGGCATGTGTGTGAGGGAGAAGGGATGCTGCCACTCAGAGATCCTGATGCCATTGCGTTCCACAGCTTCAGACTATCCCTGTGCCAAGCCTGCTTATGGCTAGAGTGTGCTACCAGCAGCTAACATCAGAGCATCCTTTACATTCTTGTTCAGCAGGTTTATTTTTGTAAGTGTTTTATTATTTTTATGAGTTCAGTATTGCAGAAATCCAACGAATCTGCCCCTTGACTTAGTTTCTGGCTGGAGCAAACAATGAACAGTTGATGTGACACCAACTCTTGGAGAAATCATAGTGTGATCAATCTCAGCCTGCGGCCCTCTTGGCACATCAGCTGACATGGGCTGCGACCACTGGAAACTTGGTGCACCAAGCTCGGGACTCACCCTGTGCTTCTCAAAAGTCACTACTCAGTCACTTCCAAAGCCCAAAGCCCTCTTAGCTGAATCTTAGCTCAGATCGTACAATTCACGTTTGAAAGTCAGGTCTTATTGCATCCTGGTGGGTTCAGTTCTGTGTTCCCTTGTAACCCTGCACCAGGGTTTTTTGTGCTATCTCCAGCCTGCTGTGATCACCATGTGCTGCCTCTTTGCATTCAATGATGGGGCTGCTTGCTCTGGGAGAGGCATGTGGTTCCTTTTACCTTATGATCATATACAGAATAGATAAGCTTTAGTTCCAGCAGCCTCTTTTGTTTTCCACCTGAAAACAAAGCCTTTGTTTTATTATTAGTCTCAAGAGCCTTGTAGTTGAGAGACACAGATCTTTTAATTCAGTTCCCTTCCTCTGCCAGGCACCCAGAGCCAAAAGTGGCCTGCGGTTTGACTCAGACAGTCATGTCCATTTTTGGAGGAGCAGTGTGGACATTGGGTTTAACTGAAATTCCAAAGGAGAAGACAGTCCCCCTTTTCCTGTTGTTTTTAGAAGTTTTGCCTGCTGGCCATGGGTAGTAAAAAAAGCAGGGCAAACCAGTTGGGAAACCAGCATTACTTTCATAAGCTGTCCTGTAGGAAGCGCAGTGATGATGGCTGTGACCCTGGGGTGCTCCTGCTCTGCCTGAAGACAGCTGCGCTGCAGCTGATGGCTGTGTGGCCCTAAGCTATGCCTGAGCCTGCGGCTGGGCCAGGTCTCCAGCCCCCTCCCTCCCTCTGTTTTTTGCCTTGCCTGGGCCTGTGGGGTTTCCTGTCGTCCTTGGTCCTGCCACAGTTTCCTGCTGAGAGCCTGCAGTCCTCGGTCTTCCCCAAGGTTGAGGAGGTTGGATCGCCACAGCAGGAACAGCTGTAGCCAGCATGTGTCTCTACCCACAGACGGGGCCCTCTCCATACCCCCAAGGTTTCAAGAGAGCTGGCTCAGAGCCCCACATTAAAGTGTTAGGGAATTCCTGAGGCACGCACAGGAGGGGCTAGCGCAGAACTCCTTTGTTCCTGGTGAGAGCGTCTCCCCGGTGTAGACCCTGCTCTCAGGCTGTCTGCAGGGCAGTGAACAGGGCTTTATGTTGCCTTGTGACCCTGGGATAGCCACTCATGAGGGACCTGGGGAGTTGCCACACAGTTTCCCTGAATCCTGTTGTTGCCATTCCGAGGCAACTTTTGCGCCTGGCTCCTGGCAGCAGGACGCCCATAGGGTCTGGCCAGGCTGGTGTGTTTGTGCAGCACTCTTGTGGGGGCCTGGCCTCCGTCCCCTTCTATGCCATGTCTGGGGCTCAGTTACGGAGGAGCGATCCTGCAGTCAGGACCTTTGGGCGGGAAGAGGTAGGATTTACTGGGTATTTCCTGAATAGATGTGAGTTAGCTGGAGTTTTTATTTGGTAGGGGAGATGAAGTATGGGTATAGTAGTATTGGTGTGAGACTCAGCTAAAACCTTTTTACCTGTTTTCAATCTGTATTACCCAGTGTGTGCCCTTTTTGGGTCCAGTGGGTGTGGCTTCCAACCGCATGGGGGCACAGATGAGGTATTTGCCAGCCCAGGAGTAACATAGGGTGGGAGGGGAACAGAAGGGTGAGGGATCCCTAAACCATTTGTTCAGGCCTGTGTCAGGTCCACAGTGTGGTTAGGAAGGGCTCTGCTCACTGTGCTCTGCCGGGAGGGTTGGGGTGATGCCAGATTTCTCAGTTAGCCAGGTACTCATACTAAATCGGCATTTTTTTTCTTCACTGGCTGTTACCAAGTCTTCAGATCTCTGTGGGCACATGAAGAGGCAGGAACTGAGAGTGCTACTGTTGCCCGGCCACTTATGGCCTTAGTGTCATTTAATCCTCACAAAGGTAGTACGTTTCTCCTCTATCAGTGAGGAAGCTGAGGCTCGAAATGTTACGTCGGGTCCCATGAACGCACAGCTGACCACTCGTAGGGCTTAGATTGAGCTCATTCTGCCGAGAACTGAAAGTCTACTGCTTCCCTCCTGGGTTGAGTTATCAAGGCCCCACCAGAGTCCCCTAAGGGTCAGGGACAGGTGAGAAGTGAGGGAGAAGCAGCTGCAGCAGTCAGCACCTTCCATGCTGAGCATCGGGAATCAGCTTGCTCAGGGCCAGGACCTGGCGTCATCCCTATGACAGGGTTCCCTCACGGCCCTGGGCAGATGTTTGTGTGGGGTTGTCTGAATTTGGGCTTCAGATTTATTCTTTAATTTTTATTTCAGGACATAACTTGGCAAGATGAGCACTCTGCCCCTTTCTCCTGGGAAACAAAGGTAAGTTGGATTAAATTTAGATGTATTTGCCCTTTTAAAGAAAAGAGTTAAGTAGCTCTATATTTTCTTCCAGCATTTGTTGGACGCAGGAGACTATGGTCCCACTGCTGGGCCGAGAGGACAGGCCCATTGTCTGGGGAGAAGCTGTGGGGAGTTAGGAGACTCCTGGGTGGTTGGTAGAAAGTCAGGGTATAGTTGTTATTCTCAGCCTGTGCCACTACTCACCAGCATTAGGGATCACAGTGGCCTTGCTTTTGGGGACAAAACATGAATGAGTGACCATATGCGGGCGGAAGTGTGTGCCAGCATGGAGCCCAGCCTGGCTCCTGGCCACTCATCCTCACTCATCATTGGCAGAGTGGTGTGAGAGGGTTGAGCGCAGCTGGACTTTAAGGAATTCCCTGGTCTCTCACTGTCCCTGATATGTGCCTTCATGAGCAGGAGAGTGAGGAAGGCAGGAAAAGAAGGGAAGGCCAGTGTTTCCTGAGTTCCTGCCTGTGGGTGGGTGCCCAGAATAGGGTTTACATTGAAATTGAACCAAGGTTTCAAGTGTTGATGCTTTAAGGGCCTGGTTTCCTGGACTTTCATGTGTCCCTCCAGTTTTGATCAGAGCCACCATCCCAGCAGATGGGGATCTAGGGGGCCCAGGAGGGATAGAACATTGTAGAGGTCTTACATTCATTAGGAGTGGTGTCCTGAGATGTCTCCCCAGGGTCCAGGTGAATAGGACAGCCATGGGCCCTGAGCCCACAGATGGCATTTGGTACACAACTGTTGATGTACAGGCAGCAAGCTGGCCTTGCACATGCACAACTGGACAACGGAGATTTTTCTCACGTGAGAGGAGGTTGGAGACACACCATTAAGTTCTCCCTTTGGTAAAGTTATATTGGGTACTAAACATCCAAGATACAATGTATCTGTATCTAGCATATTTCTTTTAATTATTCACTGCAGATTAGCAAGGAGTTTGTGCAGAGGGATGGTGAGTGGGAACAGGCTGGCAGGAACTGGAGTCTCCCCAGGGCCTGGACTCAGGGGAAATGACAGGGCTAGGCTAGGGTGGCATGGAATGTCGGGAGTAGGAATGACAGTAGATGGCAAACCTAATCAGCCTATGTCTGTGGAGGTCATGGAGCAAATCAGGACTGGCCACAGAGCACTTCCCTGATGTCCAGCATGGTCCTCAGTCCTTTCTTCTGTGACTGCTAGGTGCGATGTGCAAGAGGAAACCCACAGAGGGTGTCTGTGGCAGAGGAAGCGTAATGTCTGTATGTTGAGAGCAAGCAGCCATGATATACAGGAGCTCCCTGGGCTGGGTCCGCTTGGATGATGCCATGGTGGGAAAGGGAGGGGACAGAGAGCAGTGTAAATGCTGGGAGGGTGAAGCCCACAGCATGCAACATGCAAATAGCTGCTCTCCTAACAGCTCCCTCCCAAAGCCACTGTGGAGCAGGACACATCTGCTCATAATCTAGTGTAAATGACATCCTGGGATGTGGTGGGGCAGCCCTTGGAGTGGCCACTGACACAGGCACATCCCTGGGGCTGGCACGGGGAGTGGCAAGGTCTGGACAGTGACAATGGTCCACTCAGGTGACATCTTGCTGGTGCTGACTGGTCATGGCTCCCTGAAATGAGGCTAACATGAGTCACCCATGGGACTTGTGCCCTTTAGTAAAAATCAAGGCTATTAGGTCCCTGCAGTGAGAGCGCTTCTTTTTTTTCATTTCTTTTCTTTCCTCCCTTTACCTCCCTTCTCCTTTCCTCTATCTCTTCCCTTCCTTCTTTCCTGAATATCTATATCCCTAGTCCTTTTTCTTTTGAGACAGGATCTTGCTAAGTTCTCTATTCAGGACTTGAACTTAAAATCCTCTTGTCTCAGTCTCTCGTGCTGTGATTGCAGATATGTGTCACCATGTCCAGTTTGAAAACAGTTGTTGTTTTCTTAAGATGTGGTTCTCCCTGTCTGTACCTTTCCACATGATCTCTCAAGGTCAGACTTCGTGGAGTTCAGTGTCCGAGCCCCTAGGGTTGACATTGAGGGCACTTGAGAGATGAGAGGTATATTCCCTTCTTCCCTTGGTCATGCATACCCTGAGAGAGCCCTTGCCTCTGAACTACCAGCTGTTGGCCACACTCCTCTAAGGACTTAAAGATGTCCAAGAATATCTCTAGAGCCCCGGACAGGAGGTGGCATTAGGAGGGTAGGCCTTGGTCTCCATACTGAGACCACAGGCTAGACCCCGTTTCTGGCTGTTCTGCAGAGGACACCTTCCTTGCTTTGTCACATGCTTCCCATGGCTGAATCTCTGAACACTGTTTACTGTGCGGTCCACGGTCTGAGCAGGGCTCAGCAGGGCTGTTCTCTTGGTGTCCCTGTGTGCAATCATGCATTGTACCCCAACTCCCACACTCACCTCGTTCATGTGCCCAGGCGGGGCTGGCATTCATTTGGGCCACCTCTCCAGCTGGGCATGTCTCCAGCTAGCAGGCTTAGGCTTCTGTATGTCATGTGGGGAGAGTCCGGGTTGGGAGTGGATGCCTGCGCCACTGCTTTGTCCTGCTGGTCCAGTCAAGGCAGAGGAGCCACAGGCCCAGTGTGAGGGGAGCGTCCCATCCTGATGCAGGAATGGCAGCCTGTGTGTGGCAGTGATTAATGTGTAAGCCGTGTCACTCCACTTGGTTGCTAATCCTCCCTCTCCCACTTTTTATCTGTCATCGTTTGTATTTTTTATTGTAATTAAATGCATACTATAAAAGTTTACCCTGCTCGTTCTTTTTTTTTTTGGTGCTAACGATTGAACCCTGGGGCCTCACACACGCTGAACCACTGAGCTGCACCCCCAGCTCATTAGCTGTGTTTAAAATGCACAGTACAGCAGCATTTGCACATCATGTTCACATTGTTGTACAGCCATCAACACTGTCTATCCAGAACTCTGGTTTTTGGTTGTTGTCATTGTTGAAATAGAAGAGAGATTTTTAAAAATGTGTATACATTATAGAGTGATTAAATCAAGCTAGTTAACATATCCAGAGCTCTTTCTATATAGTGAAATTGACCTCTGTACCCACTAACATTGACTCCCCAACTCCAGCCACCACAGCCTCTATGGAAGGCAGGCTGGGAGGGAGGCCTGCCTGTCCCAGAGAGGGTGGTCACAGTTGTCATCTTTTCCACTCATCTGTCAGCTTGGTAGATGTGTGCCCTTGGGGACCCACTGCATTCCTCTCTCGTGCTACTGACATTTCAGAGGAAAAATCCTAGCACTCAGAATGCTCCAGACCGGGAGAGGCTGGAGAGGAGAAGATTCTTTGCATTCCCAAGCAGTCTGGGGTGAGGGAGGGTCTGGAGAATGCCTGTGGAGGCAGGGCAGGCAGGGCAGGCAGGGCAGGCCTGGCTGGCCCTGGGGACTCTCCCAACTCCCTCCCCACAGCTGTCTGGCTTCTTTCTGTCCAGCCCATTCTTTCACTTGATGTTCAGCCTTGAAGTAGGCTGGAGTGGGGATCAGTTCTCTGATTCTGAGGGCCAGTGTAGACCATTTTCAGTATGGACACCCTCCAGCCCTTGCCCTAGAGAAAGATGTATTTGTGAGCATAAGCATGTCCCGAGTGGCCCATGCACTGCCCTTTGTAGGTCTTGGCCTGCACGTCCCTCAGGTTGCCCAGGATTCCACCTGATGACGCCTTTAGTGTCTCTGCACCCTTGGGCTCTCTGCCACATTTTGGGAGGTGTACACACAAGTGTATTACGTAGCCCCTGGTTACTGCCCAGGCCTGGAACCAGTCTGTTCAGTGTGTTCACCGGCTGATTAAATCACCTTTCCCTGCCTGGCCACCACTTCTCAAATTTTGTGGTCCTGGGAGTATTTCATGTTTCCTCTCCTCTTCCTGCCATTCTTTGGAGCACAGGAAGGAATGATACACATTACGTGTTTGGCCATTTTCTTAGGCTCTGTCCAGCACACGGCAGTTTTCAGTGATTCTTCTGTAGTCTTTGTCTCAGTAGTTAAGACCTTTCTGAGGCTGCCAAGCCAAATAGTTGGTTTTGGCAGCATGAATTCCCTGCTTTGCTGAAATGTTACACATTCCTCTCCAGTGAGTGGGACACAAAAATAGATCCTGGGCTCTGTTGTGGTTTTGCTGTTTTTAGAATGGACGTGGCCAGTTGAGACCTGGCTCCCACATGGGCTGACTGATGCCCAGCCTGGCTGGACTGAGTCCTCCTGGGTAGACCCTCTGCTCGGTGAGCACTTGGGGTGGGTGGCCTGCCAGAGTGGGATGAGGCCCAGTGTGGAGTCCAAAAACATAAAGCAACAGAACTTGCTTTGAAATGGCAGACTGCTCCATGGGACCTACACAAGTGCACTGTCCTGTGCTGTAAGTGCACAGACCACAGTGGGTATCCCTGGAGGATTCGGGAGGATGATGGCTCTCCTGCCTACCTTGCTAGGGTCATTCTTGTTACAGGTCCTGAGTCCTTCAGGCCAGGCAGTGCTGTGCCCACTGGGGTTAGGAAATCCTAAATAACAGACCCTTTTCCTTGTGGGTGCAGAGTAGGCAAGACCCTTCACCCAGCATGATCAAGGAGGTATAGTTTTTTTGTTTTCTTTTTTTGAGGCTGGGTCTTATTGCACAGTTCAGGCTGGTTTGACTCACTGTATAGCCTAGGCTGGCCTCCCAAGTGCTGGGATTACAGGCCTGAGCCATACCTGGCTCAGAGGGCAGTTTTTTACAGATTATAGCTATACTTTTCTTGCAAAATAAAAAATATAGAAAAAAAAGTATCAAATTACTAGAACTCTTCACTCATTGTCATCTCCAGAGACCTTAAAATGGTTATTGAAGGGCTGGGAATTTAGCTCAGTGGCTTAAGTGCCTGCCTTGCAAGCAGGTGGTTGTGAGTTCGATCCCCGGTACCGATTAAAAAAAAAAATGGTTAGTGAGTTGTTTTCTATTAACATGGACTCCCCTGCCGGATGATGCTCTCCCTTGAGGTGCTGTCCTGAAGCCTCCACTAACCTACAAAGTACCTGTCACCACTTGAGGGTATCATCCTGAGCCAGATGTTCCTTGGTTCCTTGCAGCAAGGATGTAGCCTCTGAGCTGCTGTGACTCACTTCCCTCCCCAGCACCCAGCTCGGCCACGCTGGCAGAATGGCCTGCCTCACCCTTCACAGGCTTTGAAGCAGAGATCCCTCTGGAGAAATGGCTGATCCTAAAAAAACTGGGGTTTGACAAAATGATCTGTCCAAAGAACCTTACACTACAATTTCCAGATGAGTCTGCTCTGGCTCTGGCTCTGGCTCTTGGACCACTTCCCAGCTATTTTTGGTAATTTGCTTACTTAAGTAACTATCATTCCTTTGCCCACAATATCCGTCTTCTGCGTTAGAATTTGGAAATATGCAGAGTATTAAGAATGCCTCACTCAGAAGCAGTCCTTTAAAAATCAAGTCAGATCATGGAGGCACATGCCGAATGCTGTGTACACAGCTTCCTACTTTGCAGCTGGGGTAGTTTGTCCACGTAGCCATACAGAAGAATCACCCAGTCCAGGCCAAAATCCGAGCTGCAGTATCTCCTACAAACTAGTGACCTCGGGTGATCTGATCACTCCGAACATCAATTTTCTTATTTCTGGAATGAAAGTAATTTAAAAACTACATGTCTGAATAGGGCATGGTGATCCATACCTGTAATCCTGGTTCTTTGAGAGGCAGGAGGATTGCCAAGTTTGACACCAACCTGGGCAACTTAGATAGAAACTATCTTGAAATTTAAAGAAAGAATTTTAAATAGGGGATACAGCTTAGTGCAAAGGCCTTGGGTTCAATCCCTAATACCACAAAGAACAAAACAAAACAAAAACAACAAAAGCCCTACATGTGTAAGGCATTAGATACGATCATGTGTACTTGTCCTTAATGACTGCTCCAGGTATATCTGAGGAGTTGATGGCTACTGCTTTTTGAGGGGTGCGGTGGACTGAGGGGATACTATGCAATTCAGGCTGGCCGTGACCTAAGTTTGTAGCTCAACCTGGGTTTGAACTCTCAGCAGTCTTCCTGCCTCAGCCTTCCAAGTGCTGGGATTGTAGGTATGTACCACACCTGGTTGCCTGATGGCTGCTTCTTGGATTTTGTTTCCTGATGCCTGAGCTTCCAGGAAGCTTGGACTCCTAGTTTGAACCTGAGCTCTTTGTATTCATGGCCTCAGGATCTCTCTCAGCTTCAGAGCCTGGAGGGCAACTCCTGGCACTGAGCAGCTGGTATTTTGCAGGAGCCTCCGACAAAGGAATGCGCAGCTTGAGGTCCAGAGCCTGTGGCTCACATCAGGCAGGCAGTTTAGTGTGTCTCTTCAGGGACAGGGCAGGGGTGGGGAGTTGAGGGAGAGTACTTGTAAAGAACCAAGCCTACCATGTGCTGAGCGGAGGAATCTGCATCGAAGTCCTAAAGACCGATGTTTTATATGTTAAATTAAGCACAAGTGGTTTAAGTTGTGCTCTGACTCAGAGTGCTACTTTATATATGGTATATGGTGGTGGGTGAGTGGTGGGAAATGGGCAGCCACTAGAAAGCACCTTGATTGAGTGTGAGACTATGCATTTAAAATCACAGAAAGGCTTACAGTTCTGTATTTTGATATGTCATTTCTGGGAGTTTATCTGAAGAAATTAAGCCAAAATGGAGGAGAGCTGTATGCATTGAGATGTTCCTGGCAGCCCTGATGTTAGCAAGAGGATTAGCAGGAAAATTGTCTGAAAGTAACAAGAAAGATGGTACAGTGGGCGGTGGGACGCTGTGGAGTGAAATGTTTGCAGCCATTCAAATACCAGCTGTGAAGCCCAAGCCACACAGGGGTGAGGCTCGTGAGCAGGTAGAAAGCAGCGTCCAGAGTTGCAGGCCTGATGGGACCCTGCTGGGGACAGCTGGGTGTCCTGCAGAAGGGTGTCCTATGACAGGGAGGGAGTATGACTGGTTTTTCTTCTTTTCCAACTTTCTTTAATGTTGTTTTAATTTTTTTAAAGAGAAAAAAAGTTTCAAGATGTTAGTAGGAGATTAATACATTGTGTATTGTTGTCTTTGTAGTAGTTATTCAGAGTGTAAGATATAGGCATGATATCTTGTGCAAACAATATTAGCACAAAGAAAAGACAAACTGTGGTGGGGAAAACGGGGAAGGAAGAAAGGGAAAAAGAAAAAAAGTATATCTATACACATGGCAGTTAAGATAGTTGTACAGCTAGTTTCTCTTAGCTCATTAATTACTTTTATTTAGTCACTTTTTAAAAAGCAGGGGAGGGCATGCAGGGATGAGGGGATGGGGAAGAGGGATTGTTGGGTTGTTTTGGTATGTCGATAGCCTATTCTGCAAGACTGGGAAGCTGTGCCTCTATGGGGTCCACATGAGGTGGCCCCAGTGGCTTTGCTGTGGTGGTGGTGGGGTGGTCAGAGCGGCTCACACCAGTAGGGCCTCAGGTTGGTTTCAGGTGATCCAGGGCCATTCTGAAAACAGCCACTGAGAACAGACAGTTCCAGTAAGTGGACAACGGCTTGTGTCGTTGGGGTGTCTACGCGTGACTGAGAGTTGTGCATGAACTGGCCTCCCTGTTCCAGTGGATCCTAATGTTTGCTTTCTCTTTTCTCTCCTTCCACATCCCGTCAGAGTCAGATGGAGTTCAGCATCGCCTCCTTATCCATCCAGGAACCGAGCAATGGCACTGCCACCAGCGACCCCAGGCCACTGCCCAAAGCCTCACAGGGCAGCAGGTCCTCCAGCCTGGACGCCTTGGGTCCAGCACGGAAGGAAGAGGAGGCATCCTTTTGGAAGATCAATGCTGAGCGGTCCCGGGAGGGGCCTGAGGCTGATTTCCAGTCACTGACCCCCAGCCAAATCAAGTCCATAGAAAAGGGGGAGAAGATGCTGTCTGCCTGTTATCGACAGGATCTCGGCCCAAAGGACCGGGAGGCCAAGGCCCTGCGCCCAGAGCAGCGAGTCCTTCCCAGTGCAAGCACGGAGTGTGAGAGACCCCAGCTCATCCAGAGCCCCACCAGTGTGGTACCTGAGGTCACCCCCTGTGAACCACCAGGGAAGCCATCGTCTCCTGCCGTTGTGCAGGAGGATGAGGATGAGGATGATGCTCTGTTCCTGGAGCCCAAGCCTGCACAGGTGAGAGGCCAGCATCAAGGCTGCGTCAGGCCAGGGACTTGCACTGGAGCTGCTAAGGGGATCCCCACGGGGTGGGCCAGTGTTACACTGTCTTCTCCCTATTCTCCTTTGATCCCTTTCTTCTCGTCAGAGGACTTTGGGGCTGGTGGTAGCCTAACTCATCTCAGGTTATATGGCCACTGCCCTCCAACCCAGTAGGTGGTCAGTGAGGGGGTGCAGCGAGGTGGTGGTGGTGGTGTGGGAACTGTCAGTGAGGAAGGGTCCCACAGGTGTTCTGAGGTCCAGGGACGAAGGTGGGACCCCAGAGCTCTGCCATCAGGACTCTGCTTGGGAGGACATTGTTCCTCTCCAGGCATCATGGGGATCAGTAGCTCCTTTCTGGGGTGCAGTGGGGAGGAGGGAGCAGAGGAAAGGTCAGGTCTTCTGGGTGAGGTGGGTGGTCATGGAGAATGAAGTGTCACTGGCTTCTGAATGTCCTCTGAGTTCTTGGTGACAGCAAGACATCCTCACTCAGTACTCTGTCATTTAGAAAGTAGGGACAGCAAAGAAAAGATAGAACTTTTGTTCCTGACTTTAAATGGCTCTGTGTTGGTGGATTACACAAAACCAAAACCAGAATATTTTTACTGTCAGGGGCCTCCCTTAGAGGCATCTCTGTATGGGAAACACAGCCCATATCTGAGAGCATTTCTTCTACGAGGCCATCACAAGGCTTTGCTCACCCTCACAGAGTGGTGTGGCCTGTGCCAGTGATGTCTGATCTGTCCCCAGCCTTTCTGGAAGGCTCCTTTGAGAGGAAGGAAGGAGAGTGGGAAGGAGCCCACTGATAAGCAAGGCCTGAGGAGGACACGAGGACCCTGGGCCTTTAGGAGCAGCACCTGCTTCGGTGCTGGCCTGAGATGGGACCATTGGTGCTGAGGGAGATGTGGTCCTTCAGTGTATCAGTGCTTCTGTGGCCTGTGAGCTCTGCCCTGTTGAAGGACCTTTGCTGTCGGAGCTGCCGGCATGGCTCATCTTTGGGACCAGGTTCTGCCTTGGAGCCAGGAGCTCCTGGTAGCGGGGCAGCAGGCACACTTGTGAGGTACGGCTATACCCTACATGTATCCAAGGGCTGCTGGCCCCTTGTGGGCTGGCAAGCACAAGATGGGGGCTCCTCCATGTCAGTATCACTTGGCCCCTCAGAGGTCCTTGGGGCTCTGTGGTTACTCTTTTTTTGATATATTCAAAATTTTAAAATTTTGATAGAAGTTTATCATTTTAACCCTTACTAAGTGTAGATTCAGTGGCACTCAGTACATGCTCAGTGCTGTACAGCTGTCATGCCTTCTGGAACTCTGGGCCTGGCACGCAGCTCAGTGATGGAGCTTTGCTTAGCACGTGTGAGGCCCTGGCTTCCATCCATGCACAGAGTAGGCAAAATAGAACGAAACACAACCAGAGCTCTGTCCCCACTGAACACTCTACTTTTTCTCCCTAGCCCTGGGCAGCCACCAATCTGTTTTTGTCCAGAATTTGATACTGTAGTCACTTTGTGCGACAGGCCGTGTGCATCCACGGCCCTCAGACTCACTCTTGTTTCCCTTGACAGGAGTGTCAGTGATTTCCCAGGGCCTAGGTAATCTCTCTGTACCCTCCATGTGTTTGGGAAGGCGTGAGCTTTTCACTCTAGGATTCCTAGATTTCAGTCCCTCAGCTGTGCAAAGCTTTCGCTTATTTTCGTCAATATGTGTGTGTGTGCTTGTGTATGTTTCACATTAGAAAGAGCACCTCTCCAGCTTGTTCTCTGTAATATCATTCAGAAACAGAAAAGATTCCTAGGAGTAGAGAAACACTTTGCTCTCTATTCGCCCAGTAAGGAGGTGGCGGGTTGTGTGGATGTACTTTACGGGGCTGGACTGGGCCTTGCAACTCGCCTCAAATTTGATGTTATTTCCTGGCCTCCAGCACTGAGGTAAATTGAGGTCAGAGGCCCCTGCGAGGGAAGCCAGTTACTTCATTTGGGTCATTTTAAATGAGATGCTGTTTTTAGATTCTACATATCTGAGAAAGAAGTTTGTGTCTTACTTACGTGCTTTGTCCCTCCCCAGGCCAGCTCAAGCAATGTTGTCTTGAAGACAGGATTTGATTTTCTGGACAACTGGTAAAATGTGTGAGACCAGAAGAAAAAAAAAAAAAATACAGCCAAGAACCCCGAAACACTTTCCACAGTGCTGCGCTGGAGGAGGATGCGAAGGGTGATGTTGCCTTGCCTATTTCCCTGGTTTCTCTACTCCTTTTCGTAATTCTTTGGAAACTGGTAAATATTGCCGGATTTTTCCCTTTTTGGTAAAACCAGATGCATACACTATTTTCAATGATTTGATAACCGCAGTTCTACTTTTGAAATTTTTAAAGACTGTTAAGAATTTAGTCAATCTTGTAAATAAAACTTCTGTTCCCTGCCCCACCAGTTTGTCCTCCTCCCGGCAGGGTGTCTTCTCACCACCTCATAGAAGTCCCACCGAGATTCTGTCTCTTCCTCTGCTCGGTGGGTGACCTCGGTGACGTCCTCAGCCGTGATAACATTGGCTGTTGACTGTGGCTCTAGAAAAATTCATGCTGAAGCCACGTCCTATGCTGGGTGCCACCTGCCACCCTTGTGTCACTTCCAGGAAGCATCCCAGTGGCACGTGGCAGACATTGTCTTTGAGTTGCTCCCTACTTATTCACAGTATTGGTCATTGTTTAAAAAGAATGATGTGTTTAGAAGCTTTGTATCAGCTTCTCATTGTTTTATATCTAGATGTAGTGCCATGGGCAGCCATTTCCCCTGGTTTTGTACCTGTTTCCTTCTAGGAGCTCCTGTTACCTGGCAACCTGCTGGTTGCCCCTGTACCGAGTATACAGGAACTAGGATGTATGCAATCAGTGCTGGAGCACAGGGCCTTCTAATTTGCTGTTAGAACCTGCTGTGTAAGATGGGGCCATGGCTGTCCTCATCCCAAGAAGTGCTTAGGCCACATCATGGTGAATCCAACCTGCCACCCCTGATGGGTTGCAGAAATGGAAGGGGCATCTCTGAAGCCCAGCAGTGACCCCTGAAACTCCATGATGGATTCCTTATGGTCCTCCCTGTGCCCTGCCCAGTGGCCCTGAACTCGGTGCACCTGTAGGACCCAGCAGGCTGCAAGCCCTGTGCAATGTAGTGCATATCACCATCACTGTGATCTCCTTACCCGAGGCCTTAGTCCTTATGGGCTCTACCAGTAAACGGGTTTTCAGTACCAAAGGGTCATGGCATCTTAATATGTAAACCTTCTGCAATGGTTTCCAGAATATTTCTTCTGTCTCCAAGGTAAAATACTTGGAAACTCCCACCCCCACTTCAAGGAAAGTGTCTGCCATGCTGTGACTTTGCCAGCACTGGATTTGGTTCCTGCCAATTGCTTCAGGTCCCTATACCTTGTTTGGCTCCTCTGGGCTGGGGCTTACCCTCCTCTGTTAGGGACAGACTGCAGCTCAGCACAGGGAGGTTTTTGTGTACTGTTTAAATATGATTGATACCTGCAAGAGAGAGGCTGGCTGCATGGTGGTGAGAGGAGAGAGATCTTAGGCATTCCAGCTAGCACAGCCCAGTGGTGTGCCGGTCAGCCTGGGGCACAGCACTTTCCTAGAGCCGTGAGTGCCATCTCCTATACTTACATCCCCAGGAAAGCCACCAATCGAGAGGCTCCATAGCAAGGATTTCTTCTGGAAGTCTGTGTGCTGCTGGGAGGACAGTACTTTTGCTCAGGGCACTCTGCCTGCTCTTTGGCAGAAGTTATTTCTTTCCCACCTTCTCAGTGATCTGTGTCCCCCTCAGATCAGCCTCAGACCTGAAAGGTATGGGTAGGACCATTGAAAGTTGCTGTGTGTTTCATACCATCTGGGCCCAGCATGCACAGGGTTTATTCTCAAAGTGGCGATTTATAAAGCAAGTGTTAAGTCGAAGAGGAGAAATTCTGGAGGGTCCTGAGTCCTGTTCATTTGCTCTACTCTTGGAAGTACAAGTCCCCATCCTGCCTGATCTGCAGATTATCCTTGCAAAGTCCAAGCTGAGGTGGCTTCTTTCTCTTCTGGGGAATCTGTGCCAGCATCCAGGGAAATCAGGCTCTGCGTGTGCCGTGTGTTCCCTCTCCCCTACATCACAATGGCATTTCTAAAGCCAGGAGTTTATATTTATTTTTTAAAAAAAATATACATTTCTCTGCTGATTTTGGACCCTCCCCCACCTGGAGGCAGCCCCTGAGACTCAGCTCAGGATTCACTCTTGCCCCGGTGACTGCATTTTACAGCAGCTCCCCCAGGAACTCAGGAGCAGTTCTGGGGCACTGGGCCCACTCCTGGCCCTGGGGCTGAGTTGGTCTGCCGCGTTGGGGCAGCAGGCCTGTCCCTGGCCAGATGCAGCCTGTGGGTGTTAGGAGCATCTTGTGTTTCCTTGCACCTCCCTTTCTTCGGTACACATTTTAAAAAAAAAAAATACATTGTTACTGATAACTTGTAACTTGGTTGTATTTTATACTAATAGCCTTTAATAAAGCCATTTGAAAAATGCTAGCTGTGTCTGTTTTTGGCCTCTACTGGGCTCAGGAATGTGGCTAGGATGGTGGCATCTGAGCACAGGCGAGAAGAAAGGAAGGATTCGTGTTGGTGGGAGTTGGCTTGCTGCCACCTCAGGAAGTCCTCCCCTCCCACTGTACAGCCTTGGCAAGGGCTGCTCAGTAGAAACAGGAGGTTAGCCAGGGAGCTGCCACTGCAGGGGGGCAGCTCAGTCCTGGAGCATGTGTTCATGCATTCTGTGTGACTGTGACCCCAAGAAGCTTTTTTCCTGAGTGAGTCTAGTCAAATTTGATTTTTTTTTTGGTTTTGTTTTGGTCTGTTTTGTTTTATAGGGAAGAAATACAAAATCAAGCCTGGCTAATCAGTCCTATCTGATTCATTAAAGTGTGGGGGGTAAGTCTGCCATTGGAGAGACATGGGAGAATTTTTAGGTGATAATTTTTTATATCAATGAAAAATTTTTAAAATTCATGTCCCTTAAAACATGGCGATTCGGTTGACAGGCCTCTCCTAACTTCTTGCCATGGGCTCTGCTGCCTTTGTAGTAGGGTGACTGCAGAGCCAGTGACCCACACCATTGGGCCATTACCTTTACTAACGTAAAGGAGGCAGAGTTGTTCCTAGTCTCCTGGATTTAACGCTTTCATGATAATTTAGTATATGATAGTAACACATGCATTAGAAAAAGAAGAGTTTCTATGCAAGAAGGAGCCATCAGTGTAGACACACCAGACCCTGAGCATATTTAGCACTTTGCAGCTAGCCAGGGTGGGAAATTACCCACTGAGGACCGCAGAGCTGTTGGTGGGGTGGGCAAATTCAAGGGTGTTGCCAGTCATTTCTTGATTCCGATCCTCCTCGTATGCCTTCCTTGTGCCTTCTGTGGGTACCTAATACTGAAAGGACGCTCTTAGGAGGCATTTGTGATTCTGAGTCCCAACCAAGCTCAGAGAGACCCAAGTTCAAGCTAGGGAAGAGCCCTGGAAGTGAGATACATGTTTCAAAACCAAGATGAGGGTTGTGGCTTCCCAGGCACCCATGACAAAGCACCGCAGGTGCGTCTGCCCCTCCCAGGCCTGGAGGTGGGGTCCAACATGAGGGCGAGGGCAGGGCTGATTTCTCTTGAGGTCTCTCTAGGGCTTGTGGACAACGCTTTTGTTTGAATCCAACATGATGTCCCAGTTTCTGTCAAGTCATATTGGATTAGGGTGCACCCAAACCAAGGTGTACCCTGACCATGTCATCTTGACTACCCTCCAGAAGGCTATCTCTAGGCACTGTTATGTTCTGAGATACTGGGATTTGGGACTTCAACTTCCAGCTTGAGGGTGGGGTATCCAAGAGCCAATTTAAGCAAGTATACAAAGAGTTCTTTTTTTTTTCATTGGTACCAGGGATCAAAGTCATGACCGCCTGCTTGCGAAGCAGGTGCTTATGTTGCTGAGCAAAGAGTTCTTGTATAAGCTTTGAAGTATAACCATTAAAGACTTGAATAATTCTGGAATGGGTAAATAGGTATCAGAATCTTAATTCTCCCTGAAATCATTTCATAGAATTAGTACAACATCAATAAAAATTTCAGTGGGGTATTTTAAGGAAGTTAATAAATTTACTCAATTGTAACAGAGACCTAGTTCATTAAAAGCAGCAGAGGAGGAACTGGGTGTGCTGGTACATGCCTGTATTATCCAGCATTCTGGGAGGCTGAGGCAGGAGAATTGTGAGCTGGAGGCCAGTCTGGGCAATTTGGCTACTTAGACAGTGTCTCTAAAGAAAAAGGGAGGATAGGAATGTAGCTCAGGGAAAAGGTCTTGGGTTCAGTCCCTCATATCACCCCGACACCCATATGTCCCCCACACACTGAAGAAGTAGCAGAGGAGGGGGCCTGTGTGATCAACTGAGACATGACTCAGTGGGTCTCAGTGCAGGACAGACAGACCAATTACACTCGATAAAGAGGCCAGGGACAAGTTCATGCTGTGGTGGGGCTCATGTTACCATCAAGGTGGTGGCATCACAAGTAAGAGAAAGAAAGATTGCTAACTGGTGGACTCAGTATGTGGAGGAATATAAACATGGATTCCTATCCACCCTGCACTGAAGAGGGTCTGTATGGTTGAGAGCCAAATTCTAATGGTGAAAGTGTGAAGGACAGGCATCAAGGAGAGAGGGCATTCCTGTGAATTAGCAAAAAGGGCCAGGGACCTCAGAAAATCCTGAACACTGAAGCATATGAAAAGGTGCTAAAAATAATGGTAATCAGAGAAAAGAGGCCGGAGAGCCAGATGATACCAAGTGTTGGCAGAAATGGGACACAGCAGTGACTTGTCCCGGGGAAAACTGTCCCCTGCTGTGGGTATTTGGCAGTGTTGGGGGGCATTTCTTCTCGTTTCAAGTGGCCACTCAGTAGGATGGGGTCAGAGCTAAAGGAAATGTGCCCTAAATGTGAAATATGTCCTGATTTCAAAGATTTCATACACACGCAGACACACACGGAAAGTATTTCATGGATAATTTTGTCTCATTGGTTGCATGTTTTATAATAAAATGGTTTATCAATCAAGATTAATTTCACTTCTTTCTATATTTTTAAGTGCGGCTATTAGAAAATTGAAACATGATGTATGCAGCTTGCATCATTTTCTGCAGGGCAGCATTGCGCAGAGCCCTGTCACTTCCCTGAGGCCCTGTCTCCTTTCCCTTAGACTCAAAGGTGGAGATGCTGGAGGTTTGCAGGATGCACTGGACAAGCATGACACCCAGACAGAGTATGAGCCTGATAGCCTAGAGTCAATGTTAGGAGAAGAGAAGGGCCTTCTCTGGGGCCCTAAAAAGTGAGCCCGTCCTACCCAGCAGGCACAGGGCTCACGCAGGACCCCCTAGGCCTTGCCTCCTCTCCTGTAGGAGCCACCAAAAGCTTTGAGGGGTCACTTTCCTTTCCAGCCCACCACTCCAGTGAGTCATCAGATTGTGACAGGAGAGCCCTAGCAGAGGGCAGGTCGGCCTTGTGGCCCATCCCAGCCTTTGGAATGGAGCCAGGAAAATAAATACTGACCTCAGAGATTCATACTCCATGGCCTTGGATAGGAAGATGATTTGTGAGCAGCTTTTTCTGCAGACAGCCATGGATTTGAATCTCCTGGACCGTCCACAGCTTTTGACCACAAGAAACAGGGAGACCATTGTTTCCCTTTTCCTGTAAAGAAAAACAAACCATACTGTATGTACAAAAGCACACAGTGGCAGGCCGTGGGTGGCATCCAGGGCCATGGAATGTGGATAGGGAGCAGGGGGAGCTACTCTAGGGTCCAGAGCATAGGTAGACAGAGCTGGCTGCCAAACCCATGGTCTCCCCAGAGACCAAGTGCTTAGAGGAGTGGCTATGACTTTCCTGCTCAACAAATGTGTCTGACCACAGAGGTTGACTTTTCTATTTTGGAAGAGGGCAGTCCCTTCTGTTTTGGGGTCCCTTCCCAGGAGAGACCAGTTCCCTTTGCCACACCTGCTGCTGGCTGGCTGATACCTGTGCCAAGCTCAAGCCTAGGAGGACCACGTGCTGAGCCAGCCTGCTGCTTCCCGTGGAGAAAAAGGTGGGGCTCTGTGAAGCAGCCGCACCATCTGAAATGGGCCTTCTAAAGGGCAGTGCTGATTGTTCGGTGGTGTGGAGGTGGTGGGGATCCTGAATCTCAGAGTTGAGCTCCGCCTCAGCTCCGCCTGTGCCTGCCATACCTGGCTCCCATTCCCCTGGAGCCCAACATGGTCCCTGGTTCTCAGCTCTCACACCACCTCCTGTCTCCCTCTAAGGCCTCTGAAAAAGCATGGACCAGAAGGAGTGGTGTGGTATAGTTCCAGACCCTTGCTGCAGGGAGTCAGCTGCCCCTGTCCTGTTTCTCTGAACCCCTAGAACCTGACTCAGGAGGGGATGTTGCATGCCTGGCTCTGAGCCACGCATGAACCCTTCCAATTTCCCAGCCTCCAGTATAAGCCCCCCCCAGCTCTTCCTCTAGGGCTGGCTGTGCCAAAGTGGGGTGTGGACAGAGACAGTGGCTAGAAGCCCTGGTGGCCTGGTAGTGGTGGGGCTCCTGGGTCCACCCCTGCTCTCCACTCCTGCTCAGTCTGGCCCCTGACCTCCTACTCCTCCTCTTCATCCTCTTCCTCCCTTTCAATTTTTATTTTGTATTAGTGTATTTTTGCAGTCCATAATAATTGCATTTCTCATGGAGATTGGTACATATACATAACACATCTTAATTCTTTCTTCATTCCCTTCCCCTCCCCACTCTCCAGCTTTCTTCCTTTTGTCAGCTGTGTGCAGATGGCAAAGCTCAGGCCCCAAAGGAGGCAGGCAGAGCCCTGATTTCCCCTAGCACTGCTCACCAGCATCCACTGCTTCCCCGGCAGCCAGTGCTGATCCCGGCAGTCTGTGACCCGTGGGCTCAGCAAGCCTGCACTTCTGGACAGTCTCCCCTCTTCCCTCACTGTCAGTGTCCCAGGTCCTGTCAGACTCCAGCCTCAGCCGCTCAGCAAAACCATTCAGGAAATCATGCTGTTCCATACATACTCACTCCTGGAGCAAAGACCCCTCACCAAAAGCCCCTTCCCACCTTGATTACCTCCAAGTACCAGCTAATTGCTCTAATTGCCCATGATGGTTTCTGCTGCTGCTTTTTATTAGTAAGTTTTCGTTAGTAAGGGACCACTGCTTAGTGTTTCGTTCCCCTGTCCCTCAGCTGGGTAAAACAGTAGCTGTGTGATGTTGGGTGGGATGAGGATGGAGGAATGAGACTGGAAACTGCCACGTGGTACCTGGAGCAGGCCCACGCTGAGGCGCCTGAGTCAGCACTGAGGCCTTTCCTTGCCCTGAAGCTATAGGACCTTGGAACCCAAAGTTTGAAGATACTTGGGGGCTTCAGTGCGTCAAAATCTATCTTACCAGGAAGTACAAGTCAGGAGCCCAGGCCAATGCCCAGGACTGCACAGGGTACAGTTTGCCA